GCAGAACCTAACAAATGTTCCTCCCCATATATATAATTTGTTTTGTTATAATTTTGGCTGAAAGCATCTTGATAACCAGCCCCAATCACTGCAAGAACAACAATGAGGAAATGCTTTTCCAAACCACCAACTACAATAGAATTTTTACTGAGTCTTTATACAAGCTTGTATACCTAGCTTGATAGGATTTCAAATATGGCAGATAGCATATGGCACCATGTCACTTTCATGAATTACAGGTTCCCAGGAAAACCCTTTTAGTGTATGTGGGACATAGCTTTATGGTAGTGGATGAAATATATTAGTAAACGTAATAGTGAAAACTGAGAACAAAAAACGACTTCCGGTTTATGGTGGCACGCTAGCAGACTCACCTCCCGGACCTCCTGGGGATGAAGCTGCGCTCCAGCCGAAGGAGGGGGTGTGCAGGCTCGCTTACCCCCCAGGGGCCTGGCGAAGGGTCCCTGGCCATGGAACTTACAAGAGGTTGCCTCCTCGAGAGCAAAATGCTGGAGAATTGAGGCACCTCTTCGTTCTGACAGTTCTCCGTGCTGTGAGACCGACTGAGTGACGCTGACCGGGGCAAGCGTGGGAGATCCAGCGGCAGAAATGAAAGTTGAAAGCGAGGTCGAATGACCAATTATGAACGTGAGTCAGCTTTGAAGCGTTTTTCAAAGGGAAAAAGATAGCTCCCCACCCCACTGAACGGGAAAAAGGCGAGCGGGGGAGGGACACCTCCCATGCGCATGAAGTTTTGAGCGATTGAGGGGGGGAGTGGAAAACGCGAAGGAAACTGCCTAGAAGTACTTACCAAAGTGAATCTAAGCGGTCAAGCGCACATTCAGAGACTTTTTTAAAAATTGCGAAAGTAAACAAGTGAAAAAGATGGCAAGGAAGAAGGACAGAGAAAAACTTTTGAAAGCGAAAGGGTCTGAGAGCCCGAAACCGGAAGCTACCAGTGAGGTGGCAAAGTCTATAGCGGAATATATGCGCCCTCTGCTGGAGCAGCTGAATAACTTCAAGGAACAGATGTCTATTGTGACTCAAAGTATTACTGCACAACAAACCCAGATAAACGATATGATACAAATAATGAAGCAAGGTAAAGGAAGTGGCTGCAACTACTCAGAAGGTGAAGAAAAAAGTGCAAAAACTGGAAAGGAAACAAATCTCCATGGAAGATCAACTGCTGCAAGTGCAAATGGAAAAAGCCAACATGATTCTTCACTTCCAGGGCATGCCAGAGAACAGGGGGGAGAATCTTAAAGAAGTGATGACAGAATTACTAGCCCCAGTGACAGAAATGAAGTTGGAATCGCTGCTGAGCGAGATAGATGTGGTTTACAGATCATATTCAGGCTATATAAAGAAAAATAATCTGCCTGGGGAAATTGTCGTAAGATTCTCGAAGAGGCATGTGAGGGATGCAATCCTGAAAGTGGTTGCTGGAATACCCCTGAAAGTGGGGGAAAATACCATCAGAACACTAAAGGATATTACGGGAAAAAAGAAGAGGACAGCAAGTCTAGTGGCGAGCTGGACTCGGGTTCTTCCGGAGAGGACTCTCTGACAGAGCAAGGGGCAGCCGCTCCAAAAAGTCCTTATAAGCTGCGGAAGAGACGAGGAAAGGAGAAGTGAAGGCTGAAGAACTCTGAATTGTGCCTTTGAGAACTCTGAAAGGGGATGATTGGGGGGTACTGTTTCTAGACAGTTACATTTAAGAGTTAAAGAAAAAGAAAGTAATACAAATGTTTGACTCGGTTTATAATAATCTAAGTGAAGTGAAGATTTGCTGTAACTAAGCTAGTGAAGATCTCCTCTCTTGGGTTTTTAGTTAGTAGTGGGTTCTTTTGCTTTATCCTATATATGTAGTCTCCCTTCCTTTTTTCTGTAGTAGTTTTGTAGTTTTATAAAAAAAATAATAAAAAATCCCCTCTGGGGGCTCAAAAAAAAACCCCTGAGAACAAAGAAGCAATAAATATATACAGCCCAAATTGCTTCCCATTATTTATCAAAAAAGGTTAATTCCTTACCTTCCTTCCCCTCCCCCAATATAGTGATGATGGTAATTACTGGATTAGGACAACCCTCGTTAGTAACATCCTACCCTTTCTATTGCAGCTTTGGTAACAGCCAGAAGTTACTGAAGCAGAAACAGAAAATAAAATGGCACTGTGCTGTATGAGAGTGGCCTTAGATCATAGGAAAATAAGATCAGCCCTGCTGGATCTGACCAATGGTCCATCTAGCCTAGCAGCATTTTTCGCACAGTGGCCAGCCAGTTACCATGGAGGGACAAACACAACAGAGAGGTCAAAGCCTTCTCCTGATGCTGTCTCCTAACACTGGTATTCGGAGGTTTGCTGCCCCATATATGAAGGTACTCTTTATTCACCATGGCCAGTAGCCATTGATGGACCTACTCTCCATGAATCTAATTCCCTCTTAAAGCAATCTATGCTTGTTACCATCACTACATCCACTAACAGTAAATCCCACAATTTAACTACAAATAGAGCGTATTTTCTTTTGTCCATCCTGAACCTACTGTCCATCAACTTCATTGGGTGCCCCAAAGTTCTAGTATAATTAAAATAGTGAAAAAGCTCTTTACTTTCTCTACCCCATTAATTTCTCTACCCCATATATGATGTCTACCAGATCACCCTTATCCACATGTGTGCTAATCAGCACAAAGAATGTCAAAAGGTTGGTGAAGCAGGACTTCCCTTTGCAAAAACCAAGCTGGATTTCTTCCACATGCTTTGTATGTGTTTAACCATTCTCTCCCTAATAACAATTTCTAATAGGAACATATATTAGGCTAACCATCTTGTAATTTCCTGGATCCTCTTTGGACCCCATTATATAAACTGGTGTGACATTTGCTACCTTCCAGTCCTCTGGTACAGAGGCTGATTTTAGTGTTACATATTGCAGTTACACAGTTAGTCGATCCACAATTTCACATTTGAGTTCCTTGAGAACACTCAGGGGTGTGCCATCTGGACATGGAGATTTACTAGTTTTCACTTTGCCTAGTAGTCCTAAATCCTCATCTCTCATCAACTCACTCTGACTGAATTCTTTAGACACCTTTCCTGAAAATAGAAGCTCCTGCATGGGTATGTGCCCTACATTATCCACAGTGAAAAGAAACGCAAAGAATTTATATAATTCCTCTGCCATCTCTTTCTTAAGCAAGAATGTCACTCCTTTGTTATTCAAAGTCCCAAATGCCTCCCTGGCCTGTATATCTGAAGATATGCTTATTGTTTGTCTCAATGTTTTCAGCAACCCCCACCTCAAATTCTCTTTCGGCTTGCCTTGGGTTGTTAACCATGCAAGCATCCTTTTAGACTTGATGGTCCTACCTTGAGAGATGCATTATATTTGGGCTTTAATTACCATAATTTTAAATAGCTTCCAGACAATCTGGAGGGATAGGACTCTCTTAATTCTTCCATTTAACATCCTTTGGATTATTCACCTCATTTATGTAAAGTTCATTTTTTGAAATCAAACATGATTGTTTTGAGCTTGATGGCAACTTGCCAAAGTTCACCTCAAAATTCTGCAGCTGTGAGGTAACCTAGCCATCCCCTATAGCACAACCTCCTCTGTCTCTATGAAAGTTAAACACATGGCAAGAAACCAAACATTATATCAAGTTCGCTCTGGCCATCAGTAGAGATCGCTCCTACCTGCACTTTAGAGGCAGGAACTCAAAATCTCCTGTACTTACAGCTGGACGTTTGTATGTTCAAATTAATGAATGCTAGAGTATGGAATGAATAATTTGGTGCTTTTTAAAAGATGATGCAAAATGCATTATAATGAGCTATGGAGACTTCATGGCTAATAATTACTGAAATTCAGGGCTCTGTGCTCTCTATGATCATGTATCTGGGACAATAACATTAAACGAGTACAGAAATGAGCATGGGGTCAATTATTTGGTAAAGCTTCAAAAACCCCAGGGAAGTGAGGAGACGGAAGGATGTTGAATATTCCCAGTATTCAAAGAAGGATACATATATAGTTCTTCATCCATTCTTATGATCTGCAGAACGCTGCAATTAAGCCCATAAGTATACCTGCTTTATTTAATCATTTATTATGGCCTCAGGATTTAATTTTATTTTAATTCTGGCACAGAATTTGGGTTGGCTTGATTTAAAACAAAAACAAAAAACAGACTTCAAAGCCTGAATTAACAGGTCCAATGCATACACAGTGGGGATTCCTTCCTGAACAGAAAACAAATCTTTAGTTTTCCTATTCCAAAAGTGAATTCTTGCTGTATGGTTTTTAGCAGAGGTCTCTTACACATTGGTAAGAGAAAGAGCTGAGGATTAAGAACATAAGAGATGCCAATGTTGGATCAGGCCAAAGGCCCATCCAGTCCAACACTCTGTGTCTCACAGTGGCCAGAAATACCAGGTGCCATCAGGAGGTTGACCAGTGGGGCCAGGACATTAGAAGCCCTCCCACTGTTGACCCCCCCCAGCACCAAGAAGACAGAGCATCACTTGCCCCAGAGTTCCTATCTATACTTTGTGGCTAATAGCCACTGATGGACCTCTGCTCCATATGCTTATCTAATTCCCTTTTGAAGCCGTCCATGTTTATAGCCGCCGCCACTTCCTGTGGCAGTGAATTCCATGTGTTAATCACTCTTTGGGTGAAGAAGTACTTCCTTTTATCCGTTCTAACCCGACCGCTCAGCAATTTCATTGAGTGCCCACGAGTTCTTATATTGTGTATTCTGGCACAATAGAGTGTTTGCACCTTTCCAATTGTATTCTTAGATGTTTTTTAAAAATTGATACATTCCTAGGATTTCAGGAAAACCTAAAGATGCTTGGAGTACTTTCTCCAAACCACCTTTCCCTGGCAACAACAAAAAGGGGTTTCTCCACTGTTTTCATTTTTAAAAATAAACATTACATTAAGTACCAGAAGAACCAATCTAGGTTTTCTGTAGCAGAAATACATACGTTCAGTTGTTCTTCCTTCACCTCACTAAGTTTCCACAGACGTCGTTCTGCTTTTTACCTATTAGAGAGAAAAAATGAATAACAAAATCATGACACCATGCATTAGACACCTTCCTTGGAAAAAAACCCAATTATACAATAGGAAGTTACTTTTAGGAATCCATTTTTTTGAACAGCTATATAGGGAAAGTCAGCTATGTTGCTTTCTATGAGTGATAGAAATATAACTTTAAACTGCGTTTGAGTCCAGTGGCACCTTAAGACCAACGAAGTTTTATTCAAAGTGTAAGCTTTTGTGTGCAAAGCACACATCTTCAGTGAAGAAGTGTGCTTTGCACACAAAAACTTACACTTTGGATAAAACTGTGTTGGTCTTAGGTGCCACTGAACTCACACATAGTTCTGCTGCTTCAGACCAACATGGCTACCCCACCTGAATATAACTTTAGCCTGTTACTCATGTGGAGCACTGGATTTACTACTACAAATTTTAGGTAAACAATCTGATACTAGTTTTCTGAGAAATACATTTTAGTCATAACAGATTTGTTGCTTAAGCCACAATTATTGAATCAGACACTTGGTCCATCACAGTCACTATTGTTTACTCCAGGGTCTCAGGCAGCGGTCTTTCACATCACCTACTGCGTAATCCTTTTAACTGGAGATGCCAGGGACCAAGCATGGAACCTTCTGCACATGAAGGAGATGGTCTGCCACTAAGCCACAGTCCCTTCCCACTTCCATTATATATAATTGCACAGGTGATTGAATGTACATTTTAAAAAATACTTCTGGATTTAGTCACAACAGCTCTTCCAAAGTTTTACTTCAACCTAGAGGATAATGGGAGGTTCATTTATGTTTGCAGTGCACTCAGTGCACGTATAGGGTTCTTTTCTGTCTCTGGGCCTTCAGAATGTAGGGAACAATCTTGATTTAGAGGTCTTGATGCAGCTCAGTACAAGCTGACATTACTATAAAACATGACAACAGTCAAGCCAACTCTGTTGACATATCCAAACATACCCAACACTGTGCACTAGGGGTGTGCATTCAGCTAAATCGAGCCCAAAAATACCTGAAAAATACTGTATTTTCCGGAATTTTTTTTTGTATTTTCTGAATATCTTTTCAGCCAGTTAGTGAGTGGGCCATTTAGTTGGTTATCCAAAAATATTTGGGATTTTTTGGGACCACCAGGTAGCCACATTTAAAGGGACTGTGATCCCTTTAATAAGCTTGTGTCCCCCCCATTGGAAACAATGGAGAATGGGGGCAAAATAAGTAAACACTTGCATGGCACAGCAGCTCCTGGGGCTTGCTTCTCTAGCGCTGTGTGGAGCAATGTTCTCCATGTGGCACAGCAGCTCCTGGAGCTTGCTTCTCCTGCAGCCCAATTTAAGCCGGACTGCAGGAGAAGGTGAGCAAGCCCAGGATCTTCTGTGCTGCTGGGAGCAATGTGCTCCACATGGCCAGCAGGTCCTGGGGCTCACTTCTCCTGCAGCCTGAACCGAACTGCAATAGAAAGTGAACCCAGGATCTTCAGTGCCACTGAATGCAATGTGCTTTGCACGGCACAGCAGATCCTGGGGCTCGCGTCTCCTGCAGCCCAGTTTAAACTGGACTGCAGGAGAAGCAAGCCCGGCTAGGATCTCCTGGGACCAAAAAGATTGGGTTTCCTGGATATTTACCAAATCCCAGTACTATACCAATATTGGGGTTTGGGAATATCAGGAAATACTGATATTTTTCAGGTTCAATATATCCGAACCCCAAGAAATACCATGTGGGTTGTTGTTTTTTTGCACACCCCTACTGTGCACCATCACAGGCTTTAGTTATAGATTTCTTGAGGGCAAAGAATGAGAAACACAGATGGCACAATAATCGGGGCAATTTATATATACAAGCAGCCCAGCAAGTTTCACGACCTTGCTGGCTGAAAGACTTGGAAGTTATTTTCTGTTGGAAAGGTACAAGGCTTACAATATGGCCAAGAGTATTTCATTCCATCAGTGGGAGACACAAATCAGCCAAAATTAAGCTAGATTGTCAACTCACAGATGGCTTCTCCAAAGACATTTCCGAAAGAAGAACAACTAATTGATTTCAAAAGCCTAATGGAATCCTGCTTATGAGATTTTGGTTTTAGTTTTAAGTAGGTGCTATATGTAGGACTCAGGCATTTCCAATGCCTAGGTACATTCTGGAAGAGAAGATGTAGCATCTAAAAAACCCTGGCAAAGTAAAATCAGATTGTTTTAAAGCCGCTTCTCACTTAGCAACAGCTGCATTTCACTAGCTACATATAACAAATGTGTAGATAGGTATCCAAAACACAGACTGGACACATGTATGCCAGGGAATCACAGACATCATGGGTCCCCCCCACAATGTGCACTGTATGTTCCTGAACTTCATACAATTGCATTTTGCATTTATATTGCAAACATGATTAATGTCATCAATTAATGGCCAAATGGGGTGGATTTTTTAAAAAAGAGACACACTTTTAAAATAAAGCTTCTGCAAAAGGAAGTCCTGCCTCAACAACCTTTTGCAGTTCTTTGAGAAAGTGGACACGCATGTAGACAATGGTGACCCACCCAAGTAGACATTATACACCTGGACTTTCAAAAGGCTTTTGACAAGGTACCTCACTAAAGACTCCTGAGTAAACTTAGCAGTCATGGTGGGATAAGAGGACAGATTCTCATATGGATTAAAAACTAATTAAATGTCAGGAAATAAAGAGTAGTAATCAATGGAGGGAAGTAAGCAGTGGGGTCCCACAAGGATTGGTATTGGGGCCGATACTATTTAATTTATTCATAAATGATCTCGAACTAGGGGTTAGTAGTGCAGTGGCCATGTTTGCAGATGACACAAAATTATTCAGGATGGTGAAAACCAAGGCTGACTGTGAGAAGCTCCAAAAGGACCTCCATAAACTGGGTGAGTGGGTGACAATGTGGCAAATGAAGTGAAATGTTGGTAAGTTTAAGGTGTTGCACGCTGGGACAAAACCCCAACTTCAAGCATAGGCTAATGGGGCCTGAACTTGCTGAGACTGAGAGTGAAAAAGATCTTGCTGTCGTAGTGGATAGCTCAATGAAAGTGTCAATCCAGTGTGCTGCAGCAGTGAAAAAAGCAAACTCTATGTTAGGGATTATTAGGAAAGGGAGTGAGAATAAAACAGTCAATATTGTAATGCCCCTGTATAAATCTATGATGTGGCCATATTTGGTATAGGGGGGACATGATGGAGGTTTATGCATGAGGTGAAAAGAGTTGACAAAGATAAATTTTTCTTCCTCTCCCGAAATACTAGAACTCAAGGGCATCCAATGAAGGTGATGGGCTGTAGGTTCAGGACAGACAAAAGGAGATGGCGCAACGATGGCGGACGCCTTTCCCGAGGCTCAGGGAGGGCGATCTGCAAAGCAGTGGAGGGGAGGGGTGCCGCTGGATCAGTGCCTCCACGGGGGGTCAGGGAGGCCCCCCAGGCCATAGGGCTTTTGAGGGTGAGCCTCTTTTCCTGCTATCTGCAGGGAAATTGGGGCTGCCCTCCGCCCTGACGGTCCTCCCTGCTGTCTGCATCCTCTTAGCGAGGCACAAGATGTGCCGACCCAGTCAAGCGCAGGAGATCTGGCGAAGGAGCGATTACAAGCGTGGTTAAGAAACAATGAACTGTGAGTTAAAATGAGTGAACCGTAAACAGAAGCATAAATCCCCCCCTCCAAAACCTTTTGAGCGATTGGAATCCTGCTGAGAGGGACGCCTCTCGGACACATTTGCATAAGCAGAGGAGGGAGGGGAGAGAGACAATTGTAAATGGACACTTTGAAGCGAAAATCCCCCCAAAAAAACCTCTTGAGTGACTGGAATCGTGCTGAGAGAGGGAGACCTCTCTGACGCATTTAGATAAGCAGAGGAGGAAGGAGGGAGAGAGAGAAAGAGACAATTGTAAACGGATACTTGGAAGCAAAAAGCTGTGGGAGATATCCATGAGTATTTAAGTGACTAAACAGCGTGTAGCGGTTTTCAGAGCCAGGGAGAAAACGATTTTATATTGAAATTAAAGTGTAAAAATAGCGGACACGCCAAAAAAGTCAGTGAAAACAACTCCGAGAAGAAGGGAAGTGAAAGTTATAGAACTCATAGCAGAAGCCACAAAGCCAATTCTTAAGCAACTTGTTGGCATTAACCATCAGTTTGCCAAGATAAATCAACAACTCGTGTCCCGGCAGCTGCAGTTGGCAACAATAGCAGAAAAGATGGAACAGAGGGCTGTCAAAGCAAAAGAGATGGACACTAAAACTAACAGCGATCTCAAAGAGACAAGGAGGAAAAGCATGAGAGAAACAGAAAAAATTTACAAGGACTTAACTCCTTCCCAGCAGATGTTTTTAGAAAGTGTTGTCTTAAATTCAGCTGATAGAAAAGAGCTTGAACCTGACCTCAAGATCAAGAAGCCTGTGAGATGCCACTGGGCCCCGAGGATGAGACCAAGAAGGAAGAGGCTTAAGATTGGCGGTGTTATCCCTTTGGAGATGGAGGAGGGTTGCAGAATTTCGAGTGAACGTCTAAGAAGCCATCAAGACTGTAGAGAGAATTAGCATAGATGTAAAGGCGGAAGGACTCTGAAAATTGCCCTTACGAAGAGAGCTGGAGGAGATGCTCTGGAAATCTTCTCATAACAAGTAATAAACTAACACATAAGCTTAGAAAGACAGGATCTCACAAAGTATATTGTTTATTAACAGGTTTTTTCCCATTACTAACTGCAGTCTAACAGGGTAATGATCTCCTACTCTTGGGTTTTTAGTTTAGTGTGGGTTACTTTTCTTTCTCCTTAGTTGTAGTTCCCCTTCCCTTCTTTTCTTTGTAGTTTATGTAGCATTATAAAAAATTTAAAAATCCCCTCCGGAGGCAGAGGTCATTTCGGGTGGGAACGCGGGGGAACACAGTTCCCCTGGGTGAGGTGCAGGGGGGGTGGGGCACATGACGAAGCCCCGCCCCCTGCTTCCGGCCGCCTCGCTTCCAGCCCTTATT